ACCGTCACAGCCACGACAGCTGTATCAAGTAATGAGAGATTTCAGGAGCTACCACTCCGTTTATTATGGTTGGAGAAGGGGGTACGGCAAGGGCCGCATACGTATTATTAATATGGTAAGGTGAGGCTTGAGACTAAGAATAGACTGCATAACAAAGGCTAAGCCTCACCTTACCTATTAATTAATAAGTATGCGGCCCTTGCCCCACCACCTTCTCCAACCATATAAACGGAGTGGTAGCTACTGCAATCTCTCATTTACTTGATACAGCTGTCGTGGCTGTGACGGTACCACCTGAAGACGGAAGCTTGTGTTGCCTCCGAAACGTCGTCATTTTATTTTATTTTACTTTTTAATGTTTTTACCTACGTGACTTTACCGAAAAAAACCCTAAAAATACACACACACACTAATAGGCCCAGATCTCTGTGAGCCCTCTTACGAGCACTGCACTGCACTATGTAGCTTATAAGGCGGTGGTGATGATGAAGGTGGCGAGAGGTTTTGGGGAAGGGGTTGTTTGCGCAAGCCACAATATGAGCTTTCAGGTTAAGTGCACAGAGGTCGTCACAAGATCCATAGCTCCAAGTTACCAGAAACGTGCGTAAGCAGCTGCCAAATATTATGAAGAAAGTTGAGAATGCACGTGCGTGGACATTCCTCCACACTCTCTCACGCACACACAACAAAGACAAAGATCCCCCTTTATATACTACCTCGGCTAAATACGTGCCGCTCGCAAGCACATATCAAGGCCCCGGCATGGTGCACGTGTGTTAGTTGGTGCGTGGAAGTGGAGACTCGTAGAGGTATGAGGAGTCACATTCTCCCTAATGGTGATTCAATGAATGTTGTGATTAAGGATCGGGATTAAAAAATATAGTAATAGATTATTATAATTATTATTTTATACTGCTGCGGTGAAAAGTAGAATATTCCACGTTTTGGCAGGGGTGACGTGAACCAGTTACGTACAACATATATACAGTAATTCAAAAACATCAATTCTTACTAATTATTTGGTATGTATCTTGAATTTCTTTCGCACCGTACGTAACCAACCGCGTTACGCGTGGTGCAGGGGGATGCTACTGCTTGCGTTTGGCAGTGGCACGCAACGCACAATTGAAAATAAAACTCAACACATTGTCAATAACGGCAGTGTTATTGACATGGCCATTATTCATAGCGAGCATGTCCCATGAAGAAGGGGCATTGCCCGAAGCGTCGGATTTATGATTTGTTCATATACACAATGCAATGCATATACGCAATGTAATACACAACGACATCGTATCATAAGCCTAAGGAATGTATAGTTAATCCGATTAGTTGGCAAGAACTTACACCGCGCGATGACCCGGATTTTCTCTCCTCTAAGTTAACGAACGCTCGAACCCATTTCATTTTGAGTCGACCTAGGTGAGACCCACTCAAGCACGGTCCTGATAGAGACCAGCGACTCGTATTGTGTGTCTCATGATCAGCAATCAAACCCAAGATAATGATGCGGTGAGAGAGCTGATTGCCACCACCATCACTGTCATATCGTTATACTGGGTAAGAACCCACTGGTTTCCACCAGCCACAGGGGATCACTTGTGTCCGTCCGTCCGTCCATCGTGCAGGGAGGGGCTGGGTGGGGAGGGAAGGCTGGGTGGAGAGGGGAGGGTGGGGAGAAAGCTAGGTGGGGAGGGGGAGGGTGGGAGAGGGCTGGGTGGGGAGGGTGGGGAGGGGGCTGGAGGGGAGGGTGGGGGCAGGAGGGGTGGGGCTGGGTGGGGAGGGACTGGTCACCCCGTGGTGCCCTTATAAAACTCAACGTTTAACCTACTCACGCCGGCTTGTGCCCGCCCTCACAGTCGGGCATATTTGCGGAATACACCACGCCGCCGTTGACCCTGGCCATTGACCGAGCAACCCAATGTTCCTACCAGCTCCCTCCGCAGGAATGTGTTCTTTCCACTATCATCCACTGTTGGATGAAACCCTCCAGAGACCGTCGGAATCTCTCACAATTCCACGATGCAACAATCCATCAGCTCCTGTGCACGAGCTGATTCATTTGCTCCTTCATCAGGGCCGTACGTCTTCTCGTGAGAGTTACTTTGGATGGCCACCACCACCACCAACACCACAACCACCGCACATAAAACCCCCAACTGCCAAATACACAAACACATTTGAACAAACGCTGACTGTTAAACGGCCCTTCCACCAAACAGTGCAACACGCAGGCTTAACAAGCACACTTCTGTGCACGTATTGACTAACTTTAGCTTACATACGTGGCCTGATTTATACACTGTATATAAAAAATAGGCTCAGTGTGCCCCATGCTTTCGCTCTTGCCTATAATAATATCCCAACCATCATCATCATCACACACACACACCTCGGCAATTGTGCATGTGGCTATGGTTCACTGATGAGTGCTAAACATATGAAGCCAATCAGAACCTCTGGTTGCGAAATTATCAATTGAAAAAAAAAACGTTTTACAAGGGATGTCCATTGATAAAATTTCATTCAGTGACTAAAATAAACATTTCCATTGCTCATGCTCATACTGTGGCATACGGTTCTGTTACAAGCACCTATGAAGGCTGGCATGACACGTGAGGCACCACACACACACCCTGTCGTCTTTGTCTCCCGAGTGCTGATATATGTGATCACAATCCATTGGGTATGAATTCAAGCCTGAATCGAGCTAAGGCAGGCACACCAAGATTGAGATAAAAAATTGGTCACTGACGTTGTACTCCACGACCAGAAGTGAAACGTGGGTCTCCAGGATTGTACAGCCCTGTACTAATCATTTGACAATCCTCTAAAATCAGCTCCACCTTTTATTAATCAATATTTGTACTACCTTACACAAACTTACAAACACATGCCACAGTACACACCACGGCCGTAATTATAATTAAATGTCCCCCCCAATATATTGCTATAAAAACAATAATTGCTAAGCTATGTAAATAAAAACAACAATTTGCTAAATATTGGCCACAATATCTAGACTTATCTTCATATAAATCAATGCATAGATTTCTGTTTATATGATTGTGGTTATGGTTGTACTTTATTAATCCCGAATCTCAAACATTACATACAATGAAACAAGAAATAGTAAAATAAGAAACAAAAACAGAGAAATGTAATACAATACACTATTAGACATTGTAAAAATAAATAAATAAAGTCCATCCCATGTGTTAGTGAAATTTTTTTATATTTTAGGCAGGAAATGAGTTTTCTAATTTAGATATTTTTCTGGGTTGGAACCCCCAGACACCCTGGAAGATTTGATCCCCCCCCCAATGTTGACTCCATGGCTACGTCCTTGGTACACACACACACACGCATATACTATACACAACAACGGCGAACTACCACTCATTGGTGATGACTTCATTCTGGCACTTGTGCCAGGCTATGTGCACGTTCAGGCCATCACGGGAGGTGTGGAATGCTCGCTTCTGCCAGGTCAGGGGACATGCCCAGGTACCAAGGGTTGACTGAGATGTTCGGCACTACCCTCCCCACTGTGCCAACTTGCTACGTTCCAGTACGATACAGAATCTGACCCTGCTGACGAGACTCAGAAAGTTAAAACGTATCTAAACTTTTATATAGACAAAGAATAATCCACGTTTAATGAGAAAGGGCGTTTGTATATGTACTCCATATTCAACGCTTTATTTAACCAGGCGAATACCCGCCAACATTAATTTTCTTTACAATGGAGACTGGGGGGGGGGGACAAATATTGGATAGAGACATTCATTAACATTTGGCTATAATTAAATTGCATGTGATTGATTGTTAATCTACACAAGTGATGTGACAATGCAACCACAAAAGGAGAATACAGAGAATGAGTCATTTCCCATTCCAACAACCACCACCATCATCATTAACATCTCCATCACCTCGACAACTTCCACCAATTAAACTAACTCCACTATCACTAATACTTCCAAGTTAAACATCACCTAGGTCCCATCACATCCGGGACATCAGACATTCGGTCCCATCAACCAGATGATTACTCCAGTGGTCAAGTCAGGTGCTCAGTCATTACGCTTTTTGTGCAGATATGAGTCCCGAAGTTATTTTTTTATTTGTCCTCGGAACTGGAATATACCGTGAAAAATTAGAATGTTTTTTTTTTGTGTGTGTGCAGTCATTGGTGACCGGGATGAAAGCAACAACACTTCACACTCAGGAAACCGCTTCAATCTTGGTTGGCTGGACCTGGAATAAAACTCATGTCCTCTCAATCAACAGTGCCGGCTCAGTGCACCTGACATTAACAGCATCAGCCTCCTGATTCGTAGTGTAGCGTGGTCGCCGTAGCTCCAGCTGATGCAAGGCATGAAATGGGGCCCCCTGTCCAATTCCCCCCCCCCTCCCCCCCCCAATCTTCGTCACGCAGCACTTGTGTTTTCCTGTGGCCTGTGGGCCCACACTACACCATAGGTGGCGAGATGTTAACTGCCTCGCCTGGTATGCAGGAGAGGACCTGAGTTCAATACGGACCCTGATGCCTGCTGTGTATTTGGAGTTTGCATGTTCTGCTCGTCCTCCGGGTTTTCCCTACACTTTTGGAAACATGCGTTTCGAGTATTTGGCTGCTGTACATTTCCACATGATAAGCCACTTCGTTGAGCTATCATTTGTGGCCAGATTGCTTCCGAAAAAGAGCTATATAGCTCAGTGGGCCTTACCTGTAAAGAAAAAAAATAGTTTATAGTGTGCTTGTACACTAAATAGCCATGCCATCGATCGTGAGCTCTCAGGCCACCACAAGTCTCTGTGTCACAACTCCTCTCCGGAAGTTAATTTCTCATGGAATATTTTAAGGGGGGCATTCGATCCACAGTCTTCCAGATTGTGGAAGGTGTAGCGGATAAAACGTTGCCAGACGTCAGGCCCGCACAACTACGGCTGAAATGAAAGCCCTGCTGCACCCGACCGACGCGCATTCGTCTCAACTACCTACACCCACACGCCTCCACCACCATGCCTTCGTAATGTTTGTACACCACATTTCCCCCACCACCGCCGCCGGCACCGCCGCCACCGCCGCTGCCATCAGCCACCAGCAGTACTCCGGCGGGGCCGAGCCGCGTGGGCACGCAGCAGCCGGGCGGCGGTGGCGGCGCAGAGGCACGTCCGCCAAGCGAGCTGAGCAGCGTCTGGATGACGGCGTGGTTGGTGGAGGGGACGTGCGCCGGCAGGGGCAGGTGGCAGGGCCCCTCGCAGCGACGCGCCTCGTAGTGCAGCGGCGCGATGATCCAGCCGTCCCAGCCCAGGGCGCGGAAGTCGACGCGCAGGGGACGGCGCGAGCACCGGCTGGAGCCAGCGGCCCCACCGGCGCGGCTCCTGGCCCCGGCTCTCGCCAAATTCGCCGTGGGTTTCTTCCGGCGAGCGGCTGGAGAGGTGGGCCCCGCGGGGGGCCGCCTGCTACCGGTCTTTCGCTTCGAGCGGCCGATGTCTCTCGACGGGCTTTGGTTGGCGATGGAGAACCGCGCCGGGAGAGAGGTCGACGGTGCGGAGTTATGGGAGAAGGCGGAGGGCGAGGAGGATTTGGCGAACTCGGAGAAGATGTTGCCGCGTCGCTCGGCCCGGCTGTAGATGACGAGGAGCGCCTTCTCGACGGCACCGCGCCTGGCGCGGCTCAGTCCGATCTCGGAGGAGGGAAGCAGAGCGGTACCACCGTCCACGTGGCTGGAGGCCGTGAGCTCCAGGCAGAGCAGACGTGCGGTGGGGACAGGTCCTCCTCCTGAGAGCGATCGTCGTATTCAGAGACACAATAACGAGAATAATTGCAATGATAATTTGATTGTAGACAGCGTACGCATACAAGAGCATTACGAGAGTTCGAGAGTGAAACACAAGAGACGGGTCAGATGGAGCAGCAGTGGAGTGACACGCCGTTCGCAAACCGCGTCAAATTGTTCAGCAGAAGCACCGACGATGAGCTGTGCATTGCCACCAACGCCACCAATATCTCCATTGCCGTAACCACTGTGAGGACGTCCATCATCGCCTCCACTACCACATCAATTTCGTCGACAAAACTACCAACGCCTCTGAGTCAACAGCACTAATACCCTCATTAACATCTTCAACACCACCAGTACCAAAACTACCTCCATCATAATCACAGCACCACCATCCACCACCTTCAACCACCACATCCACTAATTAAATCATAAATCGTTTTTTATTTTACCAGGTAAGGCCCACTGAGCTACATAGCTCTTTTTCAGAAGCGACTTGGCCACAAATGATAGCTCAACGAAGTGGCTTTTCACGTCGAAATGTATAACAGCCAAATACTCAACGCACGTTTCTAAATGTGGAGGGGAAAACCGGAGGGCCCGGATAAAAAAATCCACACGACCACGGGGAGAGAGCGAGACATGCAAACTCCAAATATACAGCAGCAGGCGTCAGGGTCTGGATCGAACCCACGACCTGCTGTATACCAAGCAAAGTCGTTAACATCTCATAGCCACCGTGGTGATGATGAGAGAGAGACACGCAAACTTGAAATATACAGCAGCAGGCGTCAGGGTCTGGATCGAACCCACGACCTGCTGTATACCAAGCAAAGTCGTTAACATCTCATAGCCACCGTGGTGATGATGAGAGAGAGACACGCAAACTTGAAATATACAGCAGCAGGCGTCAGGGTCTGGATCGAACCCACGACCTCCTGTAAATCAGGCGAGGTAGTTAACATCTCATAGCCACCGTGATGATGATGGGAGAGACACGCAAACTCCAAATATACAGCAGCAGGCGTCAGGATCGAACCCACGACCTCCTGTAGACCAGGCGAGGTAGTTAACATCTCATAGCCACCGTGATGATGATGAGAGAGAGACACGCAAACTTGAAATATACAGCAGCAGGCGTCAGGGTCTGGATCGAACCCACGACCTCCTGTAAACCAGGCGAGGTAGTTAACATCTCATAGCCACCGTGATGATGATGAGAGAGACACGCAAACTCCAAATATACAGCAGCAGGCGTCAGGGTCAGGATCGAACCCACGACCTCCTGTAGACCAGGCGAGGTAGTTAACATCTCATAGCCACCGTGATGATGATGATGAGAGAGAGACACGCAAACTTGAAATATATACAGCAGCAGGCGTCAGGGTCTGGATCGAACCCACGACCTCCTGTAAACCAGGCGAGGTAGTTAACATCTCATAGCCACCGTGATGATGATGAGAGAGAGAGACACGCAAACTTGAAATATACAGCAGCAGGCGTCAGGGTCTGGATCGAACCCACGACCTCCTGTAGACCAGGCGAGGTAGTTAACATCTCATAGCCACCGTGATGATGATGATGAGAGAGAGACACGCAAACTCCAAATATACAGCAGCAGGCGTCAGGGTCTGGATCGAACCCACGACCTCCTGTAGACCAAGCAAAGTCGTTAACATCTCGCCACCGATGGGGCCATCACCACCACCGCCCCATACCACCACCGCCCCATACCACCACCATCACCACCGCCGCCCCATACCACCACCATCACCACCGCCACCCCATACCACCACCATCACCACCGCCACCCCATACCACCACAACCATCACCTCCAGCAGCAGCAGCAGCAGGTCCCATCGCTCCGAGGACATCAAACACCTCCCACCGCGGTGTCCCCAGTCCAGCTGCTGTCATTAGCTCTACCACCCTGGTGGTGGTGGTGGAGGTGGTGGCGGTGAGCGGGCCACTCGATCCGCACGGTCTCAGCTGCAGCACGGCTCGGCGAGACACACGCGGGCGGCGGGAGGAAGAGGAGGAGGACGGTGCCGGGCGCTTGCGGAGAACCCGAAGGTGTGCGGCCAGAATTGTGTCACCCCGTGGCAGGGCAGAGACGTTGAAGAGGAGCTGCTGCCTCGTTGGGGAGTCCGCTGAGTCTGGCGAGAGCGGACAGAGAGAGAGAGGTCATCCACATTTTCATATTCTTAGGTTTTTTCGGTAAAGTCACGTAGGTAAAAACATTAAAAAGTAAAATAAAATAAAAATTAAAAATCACGACGTTTCGGAGGCAACACAAGCTTCCGTCTTCAGGTGGTACCGTCACAGCCACGACAGCTGTATCAAGTGTGGCTGTGACGGTACCACCTGAAGACGGAAGCTTGTGTTGCCTCCGAAACGTCGTGATTTTATTTTATTTTACTTTTTAAGGTCGTCCACATTTTGAATTCTTTCACCGGTCGGTGTAATTCTTTCGAGCGCACGTGTTGTGTTTGGTTTGGTTTGGTTCAACGCAGCAGCAGCAGCAGCAGCAACAACCGCCGTTGCACATTAAGTGGCGGTGATGTCACCACGGCACTTCAGAATCATGTGTGTTTTAGACTGGAGGAATCAGATGAGCCGTGAAGCTCTTTTTAAATCCTTTATATTAAGTTCGCTTGCTAGCTTGCTTGCGTGCTTGCTTGCTTACGACCGTGCAAATCTTTCGGTCGTTTTTTAACCCACTTCCCGTGATCCAATCGAGCTGACATTTTGCACACAGACTCGTTGTGCGTGACAATTTATTTTCGTGAAATTTTTTTTCCAACATTTTCCACTTTTTAGGAAAAATTTTTTTTTCATATTTTATTTAAAATACCAATGTGATAAAAATGAAACTCTTACTCAAGAAAAACAGAAATGAATAATAAAATAAAACCGATGCCACGCATATAAAGGATTTATAGTGAAAAACTTTGTTTTTACGGGTGATTTTTTCACAGATGCCAAACTGGGTGCACATTCAGGCCACGTGAAGTTTCGAATGCTCGCTGCAGACAATGAGATCCCCCATCTCACCCCCAGGTGTTACGGGGTGACTGGCGAGACTTGAAGATGCACAGGATTAAATTTCGATTTAAAGCTTTCGTGACTGCAGGGATTCATCTTCTTGGTTCTTTCGGTAAAGTCACGTAGAAGGAAAATAATAAAACATAATAAAATAATTATCAGTGAGAATTATTTTATTATATTTTTCTCAGTGAGAATTATTTTATTATGTTTTATTATTTTATTATTTCCCTTCTACGTAACTTTACCGAAAGAACCAAGAAGATGCACAGGATTCATTGGGTGTTTCCACAACGCACCTGTACCCAGATCCACGAAGCCGGACACTGTGTTGCAATTGACAGCCACGTTGCTGCAGCTGCTGCTCCAGCTGCTGTTGTTGTTGTTCGTTCCGGCAACTATCGGCGATTTGAGCAGCTCCATCATGAAGCGGTGCGGGGTGACGGTGCCACGGGACCAGCAGTGGCACCGGGCCGAGAAGAGCAGCAGCAGCGGTGGCAGCAGCAGCAGCAGAAGCAGCAGCCTCCGTGCACAGCAAGGGGACATGGTCTCCCTGCTGATTGATGCTGGCTATGTAGGCGTGTGTGTGTGCTCTCTAAGTTTGTGTGTACTCGGTGTGCGTAGGTGATGTATGTGTGGCGCTGCTGGGTATGCGTTCTGTTGGTGCGAGGTGTAATTAAATTTGTGTGCGTGGTTTGGGACTTAGTTGGGGTTGGGTTTGTGTGTATGTATGGTCGGTTTTATGCTTGTGCCGGGTGTGCAGGTGTGTGTGTGGTTGAGAGTTGTTTGCGTGAATGATTATGTATGCATGATGGGTGTAAAGTTGGTTCTTGCTGTGTTATAATGTATGTGTGTGCTTGGTAAGTGTGCTGTGTGTGTGTGTATGCTGTTTGGTTTATAGATTGGTGTTGTGCCCTGTGTGATTGATACCGTGTGTGTGTATGTGTGATGGATACTGTGGGAGTGTCTGCGTGTGCTGGGTGTGTGGGTTGGTGCTAGGGATGTGTGTGGTTGGTGATGTACGCTTGAGTGATGCTCCTGTGTGATCAGATTGCCGTGTCTCTCTTTTGTTTCTTTACACCCGGGTTGGGGCTTTCTCAGTCCATTCGTCTGTTGTACTCGCACTGACTGAGCGTATCACCTGTTCACCGTGAATTATAATCAACGTCAACGATAATACAGGAATGACAAACCATGCCTTAGTAAAAGATTTAAAAATATAATTTCAAAACATCACAAAAATGCAATATATACCATCACTTTGTCAATCATATTATATCAATACGTTAAATTCATATTCATTAAATTCAGAGCTTAATTTTAGCTGCAGCTCGTTGGAGCTGAGCTCAAGGAAAATATTTTTTTCTGGCTGTTGGAAGACCCAGGAAAATATTCCATGAAATTAAGCCTCGATTAAAATGTTATGATACATTACTCATTAATACATTTTTTTATAAGAACGCACAAATTTAAAATACTGTTTTGATAATACGAAATATAAAGAATTTCATAAACAATCATCATTTTAATTTAAACATAACATTACACTATTTTATATGAATGCAAAATTGTTTTTTATATTTATACTGTACAAAGTAAAAAAACAAAACAATATAGGCTACAAACATTGTGGAAAAGTGGATCTTACTGGTATCGTCCAAAGCGGAACCAAAATGAGCTGTATGTAGCCTTAGAAACACAAGGATGATCCAAATAATAAATGTATCGCCAAATTTGGAGTGACGAGTATCCAATCATACCTGCACACACACACACTGCTCCTTGCCTGACTGTGCTTGGAGTCTGTCTGCTTCTGCTGAGGCCCCTTTCATTTTATACCGACCACGCAATGATGTAAAACCTGGTTCCTATGCTCCAGATGCTGACGAAAAGCCAGCCAACCATAACACACATGCACGCGCCTGTACACACACACACTGGTGCCAGCAAGCATACAGCCCAGCTTTTAACCAGGCACTATAACAACCAACACATATACTCGTATACTGCTGGATGAGGGCCTCCCAAAACGCCCATAAAATTGGGGTCAATTGACTATACTTCATCTTCTTGGTTCTTTCGGTAAAGTCACGTAGAAGGGAAATAATAAAATAATAAAATAATAAAAATAATAAAATAATTCTCACGACGTTTCGGCCACAACGCAAGCAGCCGTCCTCAGGTGAAAACCAGGTCTGTCGAGACGCTGTCGTTGTGGCCGAAACGTCGTGAGAATTATTTTATTATTTTATTATTTTTTCTTATTGTATTACTTCCCTTCTACGTGACTTTACCGAAAGAACCAAGAAGATGAATCCCTGCAGTCACGAAAGCTTTAAATCGAAATTTGACTATACTTCACCACACTCTACTTGAGCATAGACCTGGCAACATAGAAGTACAATACAACAATGGATTTTGCTGCACTGCTCTATGCAGCCCTATGACGTCGTCGCTTTAAGATGTTCTCTGTTCATTGCGGCATGGCTCACAGGGCTATAATACATACAACTTGAAACTGTTTAAGAATGGTGGTTACTGATCCAGGCATGATCCAGGCTCAACGCTTCCGAGTTGTGGAGTGGTCGGGCGCAATGCAGGTTATATATGGCCATAGACTAATACACGGTACTACTCATATAAATAAGACAAACATCTCCCTATAGCCTTTATATACCGTTGGGATAAGTACTTTCAGCGAGTACCTATTAAGGCCGGCACGGCACACGAGGGGGTGGGTGGCCAACACCACGCCCGGCCGCATTTGTCTCCCCAGTGTCGATGTTTACACACCTCACCAGGTACTCATTTGAGGCTGTGCCGATCTAGGGGAGGCCCAGATAATCGTCATTGGCGTTGGCCGTGAGCGGGAATTGAACTCAGGTCGTCGGGTTCGTAGTGCAGCTCGCTAGCCGCTACACTACCGCTCCATACACATGTAGTGACATAAGAAGGGAGGGGCTGCTGGGGGCTCTGGGTTCCCAGGTGGGTCCAGACGCTTAAGCCTCTGGGCGCCAGGCGCTGGGTTCCCAGGGGGTCCAGACGCTTAAGCCTCTGGGCGCCAGGCGTTGGGTTCCCAGGGGGTCCAGACGCTTAAGCCTCTGGGCGCCAGGCGCTGGGTTCCCAGGGGGTCCAGACGCTTAAGCCTCTGGGCGCCAGGCGTTGGGTTCCCAGGCGCTTAATCCCCTGGGCGCCGCCAACGGGGGGAGGCTGTGTGGGCTCTGTGGGATGTCTGGTGGCGCACACGGCCCCACCCCTCGTTGGACCAGGCATAAAAGGAGAGCTCCCTGGACGATCAGGGCCCAGTTGTAACTCAAGACCCAAGACCCACTACCAGCCATCTGAAGACCCTGGGATGCTGTGAGAGCCAGCGCTGGGACTCTGGAACTCCCGACTCTACGACCTTGTGAGGGCGAGTTCCGGAGCGTAGCCAGAGTAGAGTATGTAGGCTGTGTAGCTAGGCTGTGTACCTAGGCTGTAACAGAGTATCAGGACTGTTGGAGAGTTGGAGTACTGTTGGAGTGTTGTATTGTAATAAAGAAGTACATCTACAAGTGTCTCCGGAACCCGTTACACACACACACAGAGGGATACAAACGCCACTTGATGTTGATGAGTCGCACTTTATTTTGTATTCACTGCCACTTTTGACGAAGTCAACATCTGTGCACGTGTGGCAGCAGCATGGCCGGAGGAGACTGCGGAGTTTGCGAGTACACTCGTCAACACGTCGACTCAAACCCAGCGCAAATGTTCGTGGCAGCCGTCAACCATCTCCACACGTGCACAGCCCCTATAGTAAACATTCCACTAATGGATGAGGGCATCTCCACCTTTTTGAATGGTGAGCACATGTAAAAATCATCCATGGGTTGTTTTATATTTTTTGAAATGCCGCAATTCGGGGGTCACAATTCCATTCAAAATTGTATTATTTTTAGTCTTGCCTGTACTGTCTGTCTGTCTCATCCTTTCCATTGGCCTAGAGGTGACATTTGCGATTTCTCACGTAAATGCAGCAAACCAATTTCTATCCAAAATTCGCTATATGCGGTTAGAATTCAATCATATGCGCCTATGCGTTCGGACGTGGGACAACAGTGTAGCTACTGAATGCGCTACTCGGCGGGCAGCCCTCTTGTTGCAGACCATTGTCGGCTGTGCACACCTTTTTGGGAACGCATCTACCGCATACAGCGAGGGAAAACCGCTATATATTACAGCCATTTGTCAGGGCACAGCTGCACAAAGGCCTCCTTACGACGCCGTGGTGGGTTATGTGGGTTGTTGGACCATACTTCACCACGCTGGTCAGTGTGGAGTTGATGGTGGGCAAGCATAGCCGTTGGAGCTTAGGAGCACAATTACAGCGTGTCGATGGATTTTGAAACACAACCGTTTGCACCTCGGATTAGCACGGTTGGCTTGGTACAATGCGAAAAGAGTTCAACATACATACGTATATCCCCGCAGCAACATATAACATTATGGTGGTCAGCCATCCAAGCACGATCCATCCTCAAATCCAACTTAGCTTCAGAAATCTGTTGGCCACAGGCTGGAACTCCAGCATCCATCATCTATTTAGTGACGTTAGCATCCCCACATCTTCATCCAACGTCACTCCAGCATAGCCCTCAACACGCTCACCAACCTCGACATCAGCATACAACCAACCTCGCTTATCACCTTGCCATGTGAACACAGGAAGAAGACCCCCGTGATTTGTATGGCAGTACCGACACCACTACTTCAACAAGTATCATCAATATACAGCGGGTACGTTTTCATAGTCATGCCAAAATTAGAACAATACTGGAAAATTACTCAATTTGGATTATGCATATAGCAGAATTCATTTGCCCCCCCCGACTGGCAGTAGACCAATGCGCGTTTTCAGGCTCAGGTGCCGACTTGCCGTGTGCCGCACAGGGACAGCTGACACTGGGGGTGCCTGAGCTAGACCAGATAAAAAGTCATCGCCCACTCTACTGGTAGCAGTCTAATGTTTAGTTTGCAGGCTCAGGTGCCGAGCCGCTTTGTGCCTCACAGGGACGGCTGCCACTCGGGGTGTCCTTCCGTATGTGTCGTGACATAGCGCCGACTGTTGGACCACAGCAGCAGCAACTGCAGGTGGGCGCTTAGCGCGCGCACGCCGCTGAGCATATACGCGGGTGAGCAGGCAGGGCGGAGGAACTGGGGCAAGGGTCATGATAGACCTCGTGTGGAAGCCCCTGGAACCCTCTAGAGGGTTCGAGAAGGGAGGCACGGCTAGGGCGGAGCCAAGCCGCGCCGAGGGGAATAAAAGCAGCAGAGAACGAGAGCTCCGGGCTGCCGCTTCTGGAATTGGACTCGTCTCGTCGTCACTGTCGTCGTCGTTGTCGCCCTCGTCGCTGCCGCCTTCGCCCAATCATTGCGCGGCCGGACAGTAGTTGGCCTTCCCGGTCGACGCCGTCGGTGTAACGCGGACAGGTTGGTGTCTGGGACGGGGCGCGCGCCAGCGAGGTCGTGTGTGAGAGAGAGGGGGCCCGGGTGGTGGCGTGAGCTCGGCAACAACAACAGCAACAACGAATAAAGAGGGCGGAGCGGTGCCTCCTGGGACCACCTCGTTTCCGGCTGATTGTGTGCGTCGCACACCACCCGCACGCGCACGGACGACACTACACTATGTGTAGAGATGAGACGTGATGAAGGGTTAGTATAGGGTGCGATCTAAATCCATCTCTAAAACAAATCAATTGTTATTAAATCCTTTATATTAAGTTTACTTGCCTGCGCGCTTACGACCGTGCAAATCTTTCGGTCGTTTTTTAACCCACTTCCCGTGATCCAATCGAGCTGACATTTTGCACACAGACTCGTTGTGCGTGACAATTTATTTTCGTGAAAAAAATCCAAAATTTTCCACTTTTTAGGATTTTTTTTTCATATTTAATTTAAAATACCAATGTGATAAAAATGAAACTTTTACTCAAGAAAAACAGAAATGAATAATAAAATAAAACCGATGCCACGCATATAAAGGATTTATAGTGAAAAACTTTGTTTTTACGGGTTAAATTTTTTGGTATTACGATATTGCTATCGTCGGGACGACAGAGACGTCAGCAGAGGGCAGTGCAGGAAAACCCCATTTTATAGAATTTACATTCACTAACGCCGCCCAGCCTTTTACTAACACATACTGACCAGCGTGGTGAAGTATGGTCAAACAACCCCCACGACCTATACCAGCGGTCGGGAACCTATGGCTCGCGAGCCATATATGGCTCTTCTGGTGACGGCATATGGCTCCCAGACAATTTTGAGTTGAAAAAAAAAATACAAAAATCAGTTTGGAACTGATTTTAAAATACTTGTGATATTGCTTAATAATACTGTGTCATTTTAAAGTAAACAGAAATTAGTTTTGAAGATAAATTTCACGGGTCACGGGGCCTCAACGCCTGCATGAAGCTCAACCTCACCACGTACAAACCAGACTACAAGGCCATCAGCAAAACCATGCAGCACCAGAAGTCGCATTAAAAGTAATACATATTTAATTTATTATACGTTAAAAATACTATATGGCTCTCAATGCAATATATTTAGAAATATTTGGCTTTTATGGCTCTCCCAGTCAAAAAGGTTCCCGACCCCTGACCTATACGGTGTGGGATGGCCCTCATCCAGCAGTGGGATTCACAAAAGCGATACATACAAGTGTAGAAGTGTACAAACGCCTGTATACACGTCTAGCCAATCTCTACTGCCACCTATGGTAGCGTGTCGGTCATGGCAATGTTCTGTGGAGATTTGCCTATGATTTATGTGCGATGAAGATGGGCCGTCTCCAGAAACGTCGCCTATTAAATATTGTTTTTCATTTAAGCCTTAAATTGTAAGGCCACACACGGTTAAATTTTGATTTAAAGCTTTCGTGACTGCAGGGATTCATATTATTGGTCGTGAGAATTGTTATTGTTTTATATTATTTTTATTTTATTATTTCCCTTCTACGTGACTTTACCGAAAGAACCAAGAATATGCCACACACGGTGTTGTTATGTACGAATGTGTTGAGTTTGAGGCTTTCGCGACCCATATCCATAATACATGTTTTTTTTTTGGGTGTTAGATCGCGTAAATATATAAATGTGTCGTTAAACCCGCCACCACCCGACACAGCCAATGAGTAAGGGTTGTCACATAAACAGAACGTGGCCAATTCGTTACTAGTATATCACACACTGGTGTGTTGGAGAGCCAAGCCACAACATTTACAATCTGTTTTCTTGGGTCTTTCGGTAAAGTCACGTAGATAGGTTCAAAGAAAATAACAAAAAATAACAGAATCTATCTACGTGACTTTACCGAAAGACCCAAGAATATGAATTCCTGCAGTCACGAAAGCTTTAAGTCAAGATATGCAATCTGATTACGACGTTTCGCCAGTAATTACAACTAGCTTCATCAGGCGACAGCCAGATTGAGTAGGAACCTCCTGGTTACACCAGCCCACAGGGGATTATTGTGTCCGTCTGTCCGTCGTGCAGGGAGGGGCTGGGTGGGGAGGGGCTGGGTGGGGAGGGAGGGGCTGGGTGGGGAGGGGGGGGAGGGGCTGGGTGGGGAGGGTGGGGAAGGGCTGGGTGGGGAGGGTGGGGCTGGGTGGGGAGGGGCTGGGTGGGGAGGGGCTGGTCACCCCGTGGTGCCCTTATAAAACTCAACGTTTAACCTACTCACGCCGGCTTGTACCCGCCCTCACAGTCGGGCATATTTGCGGAATACACCACGCCGCCGTTGACCCTGGCCATTGACCGAGCAACCCAACGTTCCTACCAGCTCCCTCCGCAGGAGTTGCCAGAGTATTCCTGAGCACGTTGAACTTCCTTCGCACCGCACGTAGACAACCGCGCTAATCGGAGGTGCGGGGGAAGGACACCAAACTAAACACAAAAAGTAGTTCTAAAGATATGGGTTTCAATCGAGATTTAAAAGTGCATAACTCCAGTGGACTTCTTAATATCGGAAGAGCGTTCCAGACGGCCGCAGCATTAGCGCCATGCGATGGCCGCCTTTGTTCGATGGCCAACCAATACAAAGATGCTGTACAATGTATTTGCACAGCTGTCAACCCATACGGTTTAGCCCGTATTCTTGTACAGGGAAATTGAGTTTGCAGGTCCATACGGCGTGCAGCCGTTTCAATGCGGGCAAAAACATGTTTTTGTCGAATTGTTTCTGTTTCTCCCCTTGTGATGGGGTTTGTAGTATGAACGTTGAGATTGATGAGGGGCACGGGGTGACCAATACGGTCGTAATTGGTCTGTAATAAGGTAGGGGTACTGATAATGGGTTGACAGGTATGTCGAGGTGAGTGTAGTGGTGAGTGTGCTAGTGATCGTCTATTTTCTTGGTTCTTTCGGTTAAGTCACGTAGAAGGGAAGTAATAAAATCATTAAAATAAAACATAATAAAATAATTCTCACGACGTTTCGGCCAGAACGCAAGCAGCCGTCTTCTGCGTTGTGGCCGAAACGTCGTGAGAATTATTTTATTATGTTTTATTTTTATTATTTTATTACTTCCCTTCTACGTGGTGACTTTACCGAAAGAACCAAGAAGATGAATCCCTGCAGTCACGAAAGCTTTAAATCGAAATTTAAGATAGTCTATTTGTTTGTGTTTCTCCCCTTGTGATTGGACTTTGTAGGATGAACGTTGCTATTTATAAAGGGGCACGGGGTGACCAATAAAGTCTTAATTGGTCTGTAATAAGGTAGGAGCACTCATAAGGGGGTTGTTTGTCAGCGATGAATTCGAGGATTATTTATTCTGGACTCGAGCACGTGTTTACGTTTTACGACAGCGACAGTCGTCACACTTTACGACAGCGAGTTGTCAAAGTCGCTGCCTTACGGCTATCCCCATAACAGGCCCTTCGAGCTTTACGACGCCCGGTTAATAATTTTGCGACAGTTTTCCAGGGGGGGGGGGGTGGAGGATTGTTGCTTTACGACTGCTCTACGGCAGCAAGTTGCACGCCTTTGCCCGGCATGGCTTCCAAGGACGTGGGGAGATCCGCGCTGCGCGCTCTCCGAGATTTGCCGCGCGTCTCCCTCATCAACCTCAAGCCCAACCCCGGCTCCCGCAAGAGGGTAACGCGCGCGGCGTCACCGTCGCGGGGACCCATGCCAACGAGCGGGAGAGCGCCTCTGCATCGGCACTTTTTATCACCGCTTAAGGAGTTAGGCCTCGGTCGGGACCACGGTCTCGCCTGAATTCTCTGCCGGATTCGATGAGTGGTCCCGGCAGGAGGCGGGTGGAGGCGTTACGGGGCGGGAGGTTATAGAGCGTAGAGGTCAGAGGATTGGGCGGTTGTCCTTGTTTTGACTAAATTGAAATGCCTTTGCCGGCAGACTTTGCCATGCAAAGACTTTATATACTGTCAAAGCTAATAATTTCCATAGCTGGAATTGAGTAACGCCACATTTTTTCTTTTGTGCGTTCGTTGGTGACAGGCCTGAGACAATGATGTCTCTACACTCTGTTTACTCAGAAGTGACCAAAACCCGGATTCAAAGTCAGAATTTCAGCGGCGGCAGCTCCGTGTCTGCAAAGCGGCTATTAGAACCTCGTTTGGTACTCACAAGAGACGCCCAGACCCAGGGGCTTGAACTCAGGATCTGAACAGCCCTGACACGGCCTCTCCCGACACAGTACACTTAGTCACATATTCACTTTAAGATGTTTTTTGTTCATGTTTGTGTTTGTTGCGGTTGCACCCGATTCAAGAGCCGAATGGCTCACAGGGCGATACCTAATACTTGAACTTGAACAGTAGTTATGAACCCCTTATGATTTTCACGACACCCAGGCTGAGGACTCAGAACTGATGCATGATTTAGGACTTGAGCATTGCCGATTCATCCATTTCGATTTAAAGCTTTCGTGACTGCAGGGATTCATCTTCTTGGTTCTTTCGGTAAAGTCACGCATTTCCCATAAATATGCTAAATTCCTCTTGATATGCAAATTATTTTGTCAAGGCGCTCTTCTCCCCCCCCTCCAACCCAGCTTAAATATACGCTCCAAGCTTGGTGGTGTTTCGTTCTTCACCTAAGGGACGGCTGCTTGCGTTGTGGCCGAAACGTCGTGAGAATTATTTTATTATGTTTTATTTTTATTATTTTATTACTTCCCTTCTACGTGACTTTACCGAAAGAACCAAGAAGATTCATCCATTGTCTCCCGACACGGCCACTGTGAACTCCACCCCCCCCCAAGGCCACCTGCGCACGATGCTGAGCTATGCCGTGTTGCGTGTCGCGCAGGAAACGCAGAGGGGCCGTGGCCGCGTTCACCAGGGAGGCAAGAGCGGCCGCGGCCACAAGGGACAACGACAACGCAGCACGCGGCCGCGCCTGGGCTTCGAGGGCGGGCAGACGCCCTTCTACATCGTGGTACCCAAGTACGGATACAACAAGGACCACAGGTACGTGGTGGGTCGCAGACCTTTAAGAGGGTGTTACGGTGCTTTGATCGCGCGTACATCTTTGTGTTACCCACGTGTGCCTACGATAGCGTAGTGGTCGTGCATTGTATATGTTTACACATTCTAGATTTGAAGCTTTCGTGACTGCAAGGATTCATACTCTTAGTTCTTTCGGTAAAGTCACGTAGGTAAAAAATGAAATTAAAATTAATAAAAAATAAAAACAATAAAATCACGACGTTTCGGAGGCAACACAAGCTTCCGTCTTCAGGTGAAACTGTCACACCTGATACAGATTTTTTGCTGGGTTTGATTGCTGTTTATACCTAACGTTGGCGGTGAATATCTGAACCGTTCGTGGGCCTCCGTCAGGTCCGCTCAGTTTTTAAATCAATACCTTGTGCAGTATATATATATATAAGCATTGAGGATAAAACTGTGACTGGATATGGTCCTGGCCTCACCACCCCATCGTGCACCATACCAGCTTTCTTTCATAAGAGATCACTAACAGCACTTTCTCCAACAGTCTTCCAGGCTATAAGGTGGATCTTTCTATTTGTGTGCGCAGCCTCCGCCGCCAGTACCAGCCCTTGAGCCTGGCACGGCTGCAGTACCTAATCGACCTGGGCCGAGTGGACCCGACGCAGCCGATTGACCTCACTCAGCTCGTCAACGCTCGCGGTCTCAACGTCAGCCACCAGGAGTATGGCGTCCAGCTCGTGGAAGAGGTACGCACTCGCGCAGAGACGCTTGACGACGCAGTGATTCACTATGATGCACGGGGACATGCAGCAACACACAGCGACGCACAGTCACATTGGAAAGCATGGAAATGCACAGTGATGCACTGTTAACGATGCAGACATGCAGCATTTGACTGTAACATACAGCGATAAACGGCAATACACAGCTTTACACTCCTGAGATAGGAGCCATACCAACCCGCCCCTATCACTCGCCAACCCACCAATCTTCAAAGCCAGTCAACCATTCGCCCACCCATCGACCCACTCAGTCACCCAGTAGTCACTCCCCCATCAATCCACACATCCATGCACTCACCCTGCCCACCATTGGGCTGTGTGGTGTTAGTGAGTTGCTTGTTTCACCGCGTGTCTCCCTGTGGCTGCAGGGGGCGGACACGTTCCAGGCGAGGGTGAACATTGAGGTGCAGATGGCGAGCGAGCTCGCCATTGCCGCCATTGAGAAGAACGGCGGCGTCATCACCACTTCGTTCTACGACCCACGCAGTCTTGGTACCTGCACCGCATGGCACCGCATGGCACCGCATGGCACCGCATGGCACCGCATGGCACTGCATGGCACCGCATGGCATCGCATGCCACCACAGCACACCACACAAGGTGCATAGAATGATGCATTGAAGCAAAAATGATTCCGAGTAGTGAGTGCGTATGTGTTTGCGGTAGCATCGGTGTGGACGTCTATGTGTGTGTGGGTAAGCGTCTGTGTTGTCTGTGTGTGTAGCAGTAGTGTAGCGGTTAGCACGCTGCACTACAAACCTGGTGACACGGGTTCGATTCCTGCTCATGGCCACCACCAGTGACGATTATTTTAACTATTCCTGCGCCTCTGGTAGGTTGAGTGAACCATAAATGAGTACCTGGTGCGGTATATAAACCTTGCCACTTTGAAGACAAAGGTGGCCGGGTGTGGTGCTGGTTACCCACTCGTATGCCATGCCGGCCTTCATAGCTGCTCGCTAACAGCACTTGCTCCTACAGTCTGTTTAGGCTACAAGGGGGGTCTTTGTCTTTGTGTTGTCTGTGCTATGCTACGCTTTGCTGGATAGGACAATACCACTTAGCAACTTGCAGGCCAGCCCACTAAACAGGCACATGTACTAAAATATAAGAATTGCTCACTGACCTTTTCACCCATTCGCTAGCCAAAACCCACCAAAACCCATGGACCCACCCACCCAAACCCACCTCTCCCCTTCAACTCATCCACTCACCCACCTTCCCTACCCGTCTTTTCGCCCACCCCGCAGAGATCCTGTGCAGGCCCGTGCTTTTCTTCATGCGGGGGCAGCCCATCCCCAAGCGGATGCTGCCTCCGGAGGATCTGCTGCCAGGCTACATGAGCGGCGAGCGGCGGGGCTACCTCGCCGACCCGGCCGCCGTGGCCGAGGCGAGGCTGCTGCTCGCACGGCGCTACGGCTACGCGCTGCCCGGCGTTTCCCCCACCGCCGCCATCGTCGCCCTCCTGGCCGCCCGCAAGGACCCGCGCCAGATCTTCTATGGGCTCGCGCCGGGCTGGGTCGTGAGCCTGACTGAGCGCGCCATCTACAAGCCCACGAAAGAAGAGTTGTTGCAGTACTATGCCTCGTGAGGGCTGGGGGTGGGGGAGATAGAAGCCAGGGCGGTGGGGGGAGTTGTATAACAGGTAATTTGTTTATTGTAGGGCCGATGGCGTAGATGCAGAGCAACAGCTACAACTTCACATTCAGACGGTCAAGGCAGATGACTGCGTCAGGAGCGGCGGAGTGTCTCGCTGTGACGTCTCCTCCGTATTTGTGGATCGGGAATTGCGTCGTTATACGTTGTACGGTACGTTCTGGATGACCACAGTTGCACACCGGAAGGTTTTGACTGTTCCATTTGTGCATGAGGTATCCGCATTACTGCCATTCTTGTGATGAAGGTAGAGGCAGACTGGTGCCTTCTGGTTGCACTGCCGTCTGTTCTGCCCATGTGGTAATCCTGCAGTCTTCAACACCTGTTGTGAATGGTGGACACCCTTAAAAAAACTATCCACACTCAACGCAGCTTTGCTTCTGAGGTCCGATGAGGTCATTGGGCCCTTCTAAATCGTGACATCAGAATTGCAAATGTAAATATATGTTCCGGGTGAGAGTCTAGGATCGTAATAAAGACGTTTAGAGGTCGACGATTTTCGAATGGGGCGAGGGGAGGTGGTCCTGCATTGTGCGCGTTTTGTGGGCGCGATGTCTCTTTGCTGATGAGGCATTCGTGTACAGTATTCGTATGAAAACAAAACTCAAAGCACTAATAAACCAGTGTCTCTACACTTGAGGTCGTGTCCTTGTCATTTTAGGCCATGTGCCACCAGTTAAATTTGGTATGTATGTAGAACTTCCTTTGTAGCGTACGTAGCTCAGAGGTCGCAAACGGGTTTTGATTCCTTACCCGTACCCGGCCGCACCAGGGTCGCAAATGTGTACCCATTCCCTACCCCTTACCCTACCGAAATGAGTGACAAACGGTTACTCACCAGTGACTCACGGCCTACCCGTACCCGGTCGCACCAGAGTCGCAAACGGGTACCCGTACCCGGCCGGGTAGCCGGGTATCGGGTAGGGTACGGGTATCGGGTACCCGGTTGCGACCTCTGACGTAGCTATACGTGCGAATAAGAGGTGTCCTGGAAGGACAACAAACTAAACGCACACAGCAGTTCTAAATACATTATTTAATCTAAATTTAAAAGTGCATAACTCCAGTAGCTTCCTAAAATCGGAATAACGTTCCAGACGGCTGCAGAAGCGCATCTGAAAGGTCACGGAGTCTGTTGGTGCGCTCATTGCCCAACGCGTTTACATTGTGGACATTCGCATTAATCGAGGCTCGACTGCACGAGGCAGAGTTTCAGGATCAAACTTAGTGGGTTTCAACTTAGTGACCTTGGTAGGAATGCGGCGACATGTTGAGCCGTGAAGACCAGCGGGTCGTGAACCTGAATTCATTTTCTTGGTTCTTTCGGTAAAGTCACGTAGAAGGGAAGTAATAAAATAATAAAAATAAAACGTAAAATAATTATCAAGCAACCGTCTTCACCTGAGGGCGGTTGCTTGCGTTGTGGCCGAAACGTCGTGAGAATTATTTTATTATGTTTTATTTTTATTCTTTTATTACTTCCCTTCTACATGACTTTACCGAAAGAACCAAGAAGATGAATCCCTGCAGTCACGAAAGCTTTAAATCGAAATTTAACATGAATACATTGTCTAGTGTCGTCGATATTACAACCCCGGAGTGACCCGACATGGCATGCGGAGGTATTCATCCAGCAGTGGTGTAACAAAGATCTGACATTTTTTAATGAGTTTTATATAACTTTAGATTTGAAGCTTTCGTGACTGCAAGGATTCATATTCTTAGGTTTTTTCGGTAAAGTCACGCAGGTGACTGTCGTGCTGTACGGCTGTCGTGCTGTGACGGTTCCACCTGAAGACGGAGGCTTGTGTTGCCTCCGAAACGTGATTTTTTATTTTATTTTAATTTTACTTTCATTAATTTTTAACCTACGTGACTTTACCGAAAAAACCTAAGAATATTTATATAACTTTGTCCGTGAAAATGTTATCTCAATCTCCGAAGAACCACAGATGAGCTGGGAAGGCAGTCGGCACGCGGCGAGTTAGAGCCAACAATTTCCTCCGCTCAATAACATCAATAAAACACATTGTCCTGCGGAGGGAGCTGGCAGGAACGTTGGGTTGCTCGGTCAATGGCCAGGGTCAACGGCGGCGTGGTGTATTCCGCAAATTTGCCCGACTGAGGGCGGGCACAAGCCGGCGTGAGTCGGTTAAACGTTGAGTTTTAAAAGAGCACCACGGGATGACCAGCCCCTCCCCACCCTCTCCACCCAGCCCCTCCCCACCCAGCCCCTCCCCCTCCCCACCCAGCCCCTCCCCACCTTCACCACCCAGCTCCTCCCTGCACGACGGACAGACGGACACAATAATCCCCTGTGGGCTGGTGTAACCAGGAGGTTCCTACCAGTATTAATCAGCGTCATAACGAATGTTGTCTACATCAAAAGCAAAAATAATAGAAGCCTGTACACTAGTGCTTTTGTAAAATGAATGTTTATTCGGTAGGATAGTTGCAAAAGGTATGTACAATTCGTCAAGTGTAAAAGTATGTATGTATATATTTACAAAGCAGAGCAATAAACACGGTATCATCCATCCACGACAGAGCCGAGCTCACGGCTCACACGGGCTTCCACAGGAAGTTTCGCAGAGCTTCAACAAACGACGTCACTTTACATCAGCGATGTCAACACGGGACGACAGACGTTGAAAATTACAGCCACGATAGACACACAAAGTTCACGACCCCTGCTGCTTGCCCAATAACACTAAAGGTGGCACGAATACAATTGACAACACTAACCCTGACCTCTAAACCTGACCTCTAACCCTGACCTCTAACACCGACTTCTAATACGCTAAGATGAACCATAACATTGACGAACCCAAAAACTAACATTTACCCTCCCGTAATATCTCGACCGCCTATTCTAACACTAAACCTGAATGCTATCACTAACCACCTTACCATAACCCTGACACGAACACAAACCCTAAATCAACACTACCCAAAGCCGTCACCATAACACTATATTCCTAACCTTAAACACTGCTCATTTAAAAATAATGTAAAAAGGCACAGCATTACACAACACATGTACATGTGCAGCAGCAGAGATTACGCTCTACACTAAATATATTGCACATCAGTAACTGGCAGCTGAAACTAATGCAGCTGATAAGCCAGTAGTATATGTCTGCACACACAGCATGGTTGAGTGTGCGTTCAGTAAAATAACACGCAGCAGTTAAGAGCCATGGCCCAACTCTTGCTTAAAACGTTGAATTGATATTACAATGTTCAAACGAGGCACTTGGATGGCCCTCAGCCAGTGGTGGAAAATCCACATTTGCCGTGACAGGACAAGTCCATTCATAAGTCAAACAGTTGAACGAGTATATTTATTTTTAAAAAGTGTTAATTTATAGTTTTTTTAAAAACTAAATAGTCCAATTACTTGTCCTTTAATGAAAGCAAGTAAAACCACTTTTCCCTAAAATTGCAAAGTAAAAAATACTCGTTATAAAATCTGCTTTTGCATTAAATTTCACGTGTGTATCTTGAGTCAATGTAATCGGACTAGTTATGCATACATGCCCTTACATTGTCCTTTGCATAAAAAAAAATACAGTTGAAACAACGTGGGTATGTGCAGGTGAGTCATTCGGATGGTTGATGGGCTCTAGATAGGACGCCACGACTACCATCATCACCACCAGCCACGACCACCACCACCACCATCTCCAGCATCAGTGCCATCATCTTCACATGTGATTCCCTTGGGCTGGGATGCAGCTTTGGGGAGCGACGTCAAGCTTGGTGTCTGCGGGAGGGAGATCACGTAACACGGTTATGACACACAAAGACAAAGATCCCCCTATAGCCTTAACACACTGTTGGGGCAAGTGCACTGTCGCTCCCCACACAACGATCCCCGCACTCGCCTTTAACAGGCAACACACACACACACACACACGATCCCTTATCACACACACGATCCCCTATAACACACACACAATCCCCTATAACACACACATACACACACGATCCTCTATAACACACACACACAATCCCCTATACACACAATCCCCTATACACACAATCCCCTATACACACAATCCCCTATACACACAATCCCCTATAATACACACACACACAATCCCCTATAACACACACACAATCCCCTATAACACACACACGATCCCCTATAAAACACACATACACACACGATCCCCTATAAAACACACACATACACACACACGATCCCCTATAAAACACACACACACACGCTACCCTATAAAACACACACACACGATCCCCTATAAAACACACACACACGGGGGGGGGGGGGGGGGGGTAAGCAGCTGTGTCCCTTACTGGGCAGCGATGATGGGAGTCGCTCCGGCTGAGAAGAAATATTTATCCCACCAGCGCTTCTCTGCGGTCGCCGAAGGGAGATCTGTGCACAGGGAAGACACGTGGAAAAGTTAGACACGGGAGTTGGAAAGTTGGTGGACCCGCTGCGATGCTGTTATTTCTTAGGATCTTTACTGGGGTCTGTAAACGTGCACGTACGTACGCACGCACACATCGGCAAGCATACACGTGCATGACTAAAACAAAGATCCCCCCGTATAGCTTGTAACAGACTGTTGGAGCAAGTGCTGTTAGCGAGCACCTATGAAGGCCGGCAAGGCACACGACACACGAGGGGGTGGGTGGCCAACACCACGTCCGACCGCCTTTGTCTTCCAAGTGACGATGGTTCCACAACCTGCACCAGGTACTCATTTGAGGCCGAGTCGACCCAGGGGAGGCCCAGGGCCGGTTCAAATATTCACCACTGTTTTTAGAATCAAACTGGGGTCGCCGGGTTCATCCACACACATGCCCACACACTCAAGACACGTCGACCCACACACAGAACAGTGACGTGAGCATTTGTTTACGAACTTTAACACAGATGCTGTAACACACACACACACACACAGAGACAGACACACTGTGATGCAGTCGCGTGTTTATGGACTTTGGGACAGCCTAACCCACACGTATTTGCTTACACACACAGAGAGACACGCAATCACTCGAGTGAACCATTGTGTACCCGCGTCGGGGTCCAAATTTTGGCAGATTCCAAAATGACCCCACAGATTACTCAATTGGGACCAAACGTAGTGACCATCGCCCGCGACTGACAGACTAATGCCCCGGGTCCCACTTGCAAATGAGACTCTTATCCTGGTCTACTGAGCTCTCACCGGCTTACAAGTTAAACTTGAACAGTGACCCAAGCACGTGTTGATGAACTTGAACAAAGATAAATATCCCCCGTAAAGGCTGTAGGGGCAAGTGCTGTTAGCGAGCACCTATGAAGGCCGGCAGGGCAAACGAGGGGCAGGGGGCAGCACCACGCGCGGCCGCCTTTGTCTCCCCGGTGGCGATGTTTATACATCGCACCAGGTACTCATTTGAGGCCGAGTCGATCTAGGGGTGGCCAAGGACCGATTAAGATAATTTTCGCTGGTGTTGACCGTGAGCGGGAATCAAACTCAGATCCGCCAGGGTAAACGGTACACCGGCCTTCATTAGGTTGGTCGCTAACAGCACTTGCCCCAACAGTCTGTTCAGGCTCTACGGGGGATCTTTGTTTTTGTCTGTCGTTTGTGTGTGTGTCAGAGGTCGCAAACGGGTTTTGAGTCCTTACCCGTACCCGGCCGCACCAGGGTCGCAAATGGGTACCCGTACCCGGGTACGGGTACCCGTTCCCTACCCGTACCCTACCCGAAATGAGTGACAAACAGTTACTCACCAGTGACTCACGGTCTACCCGTACCCGTACGGGTACCCGGCCGGGTACGGGTACCCGTTCCCTACCCGTACCCTACCCGAAATGAGTGACAAACGGTTACTCACCAGTGACTCACGGCCTACCCGTACCCGTACCCGGTCGGGTACGGGTAGCCGGGTATCGGGTAGGGTACGGGTATCGGGTACCCGGTTGCGACCTCTGCTATACGCACACCTTTTCCAATTTTATCCCGATTGTGATATTTGGTGTCGCGTCACGGGACCGAGAATCCTTTGGGAGGTCTCGGGAGAGCAGCGCAACCTCTCCTGGGAAGCAGGATATCACAGAGCTCGTCTCCGGGATCTCGTCGTCTTTAAGTGATCCCTGGTTCACACATCAGAATCACCATCTTTGTGTAGACTGGAGGAATCCGATGAGCTACGAAGCCGCCGAGTATCGGGTAGGGTACGGGTATCGGGTACCCGGGTAGCCGAGTATCGGGTAGGGTACGGGTATCGGGTACCCGCTTGCGACCTCTGGTGTGTGTGCGTCTGCCGGCTGATGTAGGGCGGTGCTGTAGGGGGATGTACCTGGGGTTGGCGGAGGAGGAAATCGTTCTGAAGGGCCTTGATCCCAAGACCCAGCGGAGGAGGAGGAGGAGCTCGCATCAGATCCGGCTCGTACTGAGGTCACGGGGAAGAGGAGAGATTCAAGAAGGGGAGTTAGCAAAGATCAATACAAAGACAAAGATCTCCCGGGTAGCCTACGTGGACTTCTGGGGCAAGTGCTGCTGCTGCTACAGAGTTCCTGTACAGCACAGGAGTAGGTGCGGTATAGCCAGCAGCACACTTTCACAATAATCATTAGCAATAATACATACTCTTAGGTTTTTTTTTTCAAATCTAGAACCAATAATACAATTGTCATAATTGACTCACGTATTATTATTATTATATAAATAAAACATCTCAAACCCGTAGTTATTAACACTGCCTTGCAACTAACACGTAGAATAGGATGACGTTTCGGGCAATTGCCCTTCTTGATCCTTTTGCCGTATACTCTCTATTCGTATCTACAGGCCAGAGACAAAGATCTGCTGTCAAGAGTTGGGGCAAGTGCTGTTAGCGAGCACCTATTATAGTGGGAATGACGGTGTGGCGAAATAATATCGAAGTAACATTAACATCTAATGATCATACGTATCATCTATATATATAAAATCGTTCATGTCTGTCTGTCTGTGTGTGTGTGTGTGGACTTTGGCCCATACGCACTTTCATTGGACGGCGGTTGCCCCTGGCAACGGCTAGCCACGCCTTCGCCGCTTTCATTGGACCTGGCAACGGCTAGCCACGCCTTCGCCAAGGGCTGCAGTTTCATTGGACGGCGGTTGCCCCTGCCAACGGCTAGCCACGCCTTCGCCACTTTCATAAGCTCCGTATTTAATTAAATAATAGCCATTACACAGTATTGTTGGAGCGCTAGGGGGGGGGGAAGGAACGCCACCCGTACCCTGCCTCTTCCAAGCCGACAATTTTAGGCGAGGCCGCAGGCTTTGCACGCTACTAGGCCTCGACACCCACCACGCCACTCTGAGGTAAATTCATCAAAGTTTTTCCTACTCTTCACTACACCCCCACCACAATGTGTGCTATTAATATTACTTTTAAACCCAACGCGCCAACAATCGATTACTTTAATGTTCACTGTACAAATACTCATTAAGCTGGGTGAGCGTACTGCCAGTCTATCATGTACACTGTAGCCTGCTTATTAAGCTCGGTGAGCGTACTGCCACTCTATCATGTACACTCTAGCCTGCTTATGAAGCTGAGTGCGTGTACTGGCAGTCTATAATGTGGACTCTTGCCTGGTTATTATAATCGATTCTTTATATGTTCTTTGTACAAACAGTCATTAAGCTGCTTGAGCGACCCCAGTTCGATTCCAACTCACGCCCACCACCGCTGACGATTATTTGAAACGGACCTGGCCCTCCCCTAGGTCCACTCAGCCTCAAAAGCGTAACTGCTGTCGTGTGTGAACATCGTCACTGGGGAGACAAAGGCGGCGGGGCATCGTGGATCCAAGTCCCGGGCGAAGCCGGGTCATGTGTATGTGTGTTTGTGTTTATGTGTATGTCTGTGTGTCTCTATGTATGTGTGTATGTATGTGTATGTATGTGTTTGTGTGTATGTGTGTGTGTATGTATGTGGGTTTTTTTTATGTCTTTATGTGTATGTCTGCGTGTCTCTATGTATGTGTCTATGTACGTGTGTGCATGTGTTTGTGTGTATGTATGTGTGTGTCTATGTATGTGTGTGTATGTGTGTGTATGTATGTGTGTTATGTGTCTGTCTGTGTCTGCATGTATGTGTGTGTGTGTATTGTGTATGTGTTTGTGTGCATGTATGTGTGTGTTTGTGTGTATGTGTATGTCTGTGTGTATGTGTTTGTGTGTATGTATGTGTGTGTATGTGTTTGTATGTGTTTGTGTGTTTACGCTCGCATTACACAAATGTGTTGCTGGTCTAAGGCGTTCCTCGCACAGCATTGCCGCTTTATTATTTCAGTCGTTTACTGCCTTACGCACCCTGAAAGTCGTGTGTGTCTGCAGCAAGCGCGTGTATGTGTACCTATGGACGCGCGCGCGTGTGTTGTGTAGGGGGAACGGTAGTGTAGTGCTTAGCGTGCTGTCTGTGTCTGTGTGTGTGTGTGTGTCTGTCTGTGTCTGTCTGTGTGTGTCTGCGTGTGTCTGTGTGTGTGTCTGTGTGTGTGCGTGTGTGGTGTGTGGGGAGCGGTAGTGTAGTGCTTAGCGTGCTGTCTGTGTGTCTGTGTGTGTGTGTGTCTGTCTGTGTCTGTCTGTGTGTGTCTGCGTGTGTCTGTGTGTGTGTCTGTGCGTGTGTGGTGTGTGAGGAGCGGTGGGTGTAGTGCTTAACGCTACGCTGCGCTACCAACCCGGCGAACCCAGTTCCATTCCCGCTCACGGCCACCACCGGTGACGATTATTTGAACCTCCCCTAGGTCCACTCAGCCTCAAACGAGTAACTGGTGTGGCGTATTAACATCGGCACTTGGGAGACAAAGGCGGCTGGGCGTGGTAGATCCAAGTCCCGGGCGAAGCCGGGTCATGTGTATGTGTTTATGTGTATGTCTGTGTGTCTGTATGCATGTGTGTATGTATGTGTGTGTATGTGTTTGTGTGTATGTCTGTGTGTGTATGTATGTCGGTTTTGCCGCCGTGGTGGATCCAAGTCCCGGGCGAAGCCGGGTCATGTGTATGTGTTTATGTGTATGTCTGTGTGTCTGTATGCATGTGTGTATGTATGTGTGTGTATGTGTTTGTGTGTATGTCTGTGTGTGTATGTATGTCGGTTTTGCCGCCGTGGTGGATCCAAGTCCCGGGCGAAGCCGGGTCATGTGTATGTGTGTATGTGTTTATGTGTATGTCTGTGTGTCTGTATGCATGTGTGTATGTATGTGTGTGCATGTGTTTGTGTGTATGTATGTGTGTGTGTATGTATGTGGGTTTTTTTGTATGTGTTTATGTGTATGTCTGCGTGCCTGTATGTATGTGTGTATGTACGTCTGTGGATGTGTTTGTGTGTATGTATGTGTGTGTCTATGTATGTGTGTGTATGTGTTTCTGTGTTTGTATGTGTGTGTATGTATGTGTGTTATGTGTCTGTCTGTGTGTCTGCATGTATGTGTGTGTGTATTGTGTATGTGTTTGTGTGTGTTTGTGTGTTTACGCTCACATTACACAAATGTATAATGCGGGTCTAAGGCGTTCCTTACACAGCATTGCCGCTTTATTATTTCAGTCGTTTACTGCCGTATGCACCCTGAAAGTCGTGTGTGTCTGCAGCAAGCGCGTGTATGTGTACCTATGGACGCGCGCGCGTGTGTTGTGTAGGGGGAACGGTAGTGTAGTGCTTAGCGTGCTGCCTGTGTCTGTGTGTGTGTGTCTGTGTGTGTGTGTCTGTGTGTGTGTCTGTGTGTGTGTCTGTGTGTGGTGTGTGGGGAGCGGTAGTGTAGTGGTTAGCGTGCTGTCTGTGTGTGTGTTTCTGTCTGTGTGTGTCTGCGTGTGTCTGTGTGTGTGTCTGTGTGTGTGTCTGTGCGTGTGTGGTGTGTGAGGAGCGGTGGGTGTAGTGCTTAACGCTACGCTGCGCTACCAACCCGGCAAACCCAGTTCGATTCCCGCTCACGGCCACCACCGGTGACGATTATTTGAACCTCCCCTAGGTCGACTCTGCCTCAAACGAGTAACTTAACTACTGTAGCGTATTAACATCGCCACTGGGGAGACAAAGGCGGCCGGCCGTGGTGGATACAAGTCCCGGGCGAAGCCGGGTAGTACAGCTAGTCGTATATATACACACACACACAAATACCATCGGATGATGGTTGGTGATCGTGAGAGATGGCAAAGGTTTGGGATGGCTTTCATCCAGCAGTGGAGTGAGCATGTTTACGATGTTACTCACTTCTGTAGAACTCTCTGCGAGCCAGGAGGGAGTTCGCGGATGGGATTGAAGCCATCGCTCTGAGACTTTTGACTCTGTGACATAAAACAACAACAGCAGCAGCACAGGGATTAGAACAACAACAACAATATAAAGGTTCCCGGGGTAGCCTCACACAGGCTATTGGGGCAAGAGCTGATGGGCATGGGTGGCTTGCACCACGCCCCGTCATCAACCACAGTCTCTTTATTTGAGTTGTTTTTTTAAACACGCAGCACCAAGAACTCCCATTACAGATTCACATATCACGCGACCACACACAGAGGCAAAGATACTAACACACATACAAAGACAAAGACCCCCCGTGTAGCCTTAACAGACGGTTGAGGTAAGTGCTCTCGGCACACTAGGGGGTGGGTGGCCAGCACCACGCCCGGCCGCCTTTGTCTCCCCGATGTTTACACACCGCACCAGGTACCCATTTGAGACCCAGTCGACTTGTGTAAAAATGCTTAAAGTATATATACACATACACACGTTGACATAAACACACACAAACACACATTAACACACACACACAACTTACCAGGCTAGTACGGTATCGGACCCACGCGTTTGTGCGTGTGAGTGAATGTGTGATAATGTGCGGGGAGCGGTGGTGCAGCGGTTAGCGCTGCGCTACGAACTCGGCTACTCGAGTTCGATTCCCCCCGCTCACGGCCAACACCAAGTGACGATTTTCTGAAACGGCCCTGGGCCTCCCCTAGGTCGACTCGGCCTCAAATGAGTACCTGGTGCGGTGTGTGAACATCGCTGCCTGGGGAGACAAAGGCGGTCGGGCGTGGTGCTAGTCATGCACCCCCTGGTGTGCCGTAACGGCCTTAATAGGTGCTCGCTAACGTCACTTGTCCCGACAATCTGTTAAGGCTACACGGGGGATCTTTGTCTTTGTGCGTGCGAATTAATTAATAGGTATAGTATCCGTCTGTTCATGATAAAAACACGCACAAACAACACACACGCGGCACACTAAAACGTACACTCCTAAGATGACACTCAAAACACACCCACTGACAAAGACATCCGAGTTCAGCTGGATCAACCAAATTTGCCACGAAGAAGAAGCTATTTTAAACACGCGCGTTGCAGCCCAACGTTGTGGAGGTCACAATCAGAACCTGGATTTTTATCCTGGAGAAATCCGATGAGCTATGAAGCACTTTTGGGGGGGGCGGGTCAGAAAGTTACAACGAACAACACAGGACACAAACAAACACACGGAGTGCAAAGTCCAGGAAATGAAATCAAATCGTACAAAATAAATACCGCACGGCCATGTAAACAAACACACACACACACATATATATAAACACTCCATCACACACCGTCACCTCGCCAGGTCCACAATGCACAACGAGAGATGATCAAGAAAGAGAGAGAGAGCGACAGAATTGGACTCACCGGCTCTAGCTAAGTGGGTGTCTGTGTGTTGATGTCGGACCGGTCGGCTGTGTTCAGTGCGTGCAAGTCCGTACCACGAGCGCCACTCTTATACCCGGAGCACTGGAATCTGACACCGCCCAATGCACTCCTTCCCCCACCCGTCACCCTCCATCTCCCACCCTTGCCCCTATCTCACTCCTCGCCTCCCTCCCTCCCTCCCCGCCTACCCCGTCGCTGCATCATTCCCTCTGCTTGCTTCATTCCCCTCCTCCTCTTGCCGCACCCAATTCTTCATTCGCACGTCCTCATCCCTCCATTCCCTCCCGCACCTCTTGATTAGCACGTTTGGCTACGTGCGGTGCGAAAGAAGTTCAACATGCACACGAATAAAGCCACTTTACACTCACCCCAGCTACGTCACTCATCACCCCCACAAAGACAAAGGTTCCCCCGTGTAGCCTTAACAGACTGCAGGGGCAAGTGCTGTTAGCGAACCGCAACTATGAAGGCCGGAATGGCACACGAGGGGGTGGGTGGCCAGCACCAGGTCCACCACACACCCACCCAGCCACATCACTCACCACAAACTCACCCAGCAACACCACCACAAACTCACCCAGCCACGTCACTCACCACACACTCACCCAGCCACACAACCACACACTCACCCAGCCACATAACTCACCACACACTCACCCAGCCACATAACTCACCACACACTCACCCAGCCACATAACTCACCACACACTCACCCAGCCACATAACTCACCACACACTCACCCAGCCACGTCACTCACCACACACTCACCCAGCCACATAACTCACCACACACTCACCCAGCCACATAACTCACCACACACTCACCCAGCCACACAACCACACACTCACCCAGCCACGTCACTCACCACACACTCACCCAGCCACATAACTCACCACACACTCACCCAGCCACGTCACTCACCACCCACAACACACCCAGCCACATCACTCACCACCTATCACACACTCACCCAGCCACATCACTCACCACACACTCACCCAGCCACGTCACTCACCACCCACAACACACCCAGCCACATCACTCACCACCTATCACACACTCACCCAGCCACATCACTCACCACCCAGCACACAGTAAATCAGCTCCGTCACTCACCACACACTCACCCAGCCACATCACGCATCACCCACCACACACTCACCCAGCCACAATCACTCACCACCACCGCACACTCATCACACACTCACCCAGCCACATAACTCACCACGCACTCTCCCACCCACATCACTCACCACTCACTCAGTCATCCAACCACACCACCCACCACTCACACCACCCACCACTCACCCAACCACACCACCCACTACTCACCAAACCACACCACCCACCACTCACACCACCCACCACTCACCCAACCACACCACCCACTACTCACCAAACCACACCACCCACTACTCACACCACCCACTACTCACCACACCACCCACACTCACTCAGCCACATCACCCACCACCCACCACACTCTCACCAAACCACACCACCCACTACTCACCCACCAAACCACACCACCCACCACTCACCCACCCAACCACACCACCCACCACTCACTCAGTCATCCAACACTCCCCCCTGTCGCCTCGTCCACGAGCTGGATGCTCTGACCCACCACCTAATTGGCTCCCCTCCCGTGGAGTTGGCGAGAGGGGCGAGGGGATGAGGGGTGAGGCGCGAGGTGAGCCAACACGAAGAGGTGTCGCTGCTTGAGGGGAGTGGGTGAGGGGAGGGGTGAGGGGAGGGGAGGGGTGAGGGGATGGGGAGTGGGTGAGGGGAGGGGTGAGGGGATGGGGAGTGGGTGAGGGGAGGGGTGAGGGGAGGGGTGAGGGGAGGGGGAGTGGGTGAGGCGAGGGGTGAGGGGAGGGGGAGTGGGTGAGGGGAATGGGTGAGGGTGAGGGGAGTGGGTGAGGGGAGGGGTGAGGGTGGGTGCTTAGGGGTTAGGTGAGGTGAAAGGGGGTGAGGAGACGGGTGAGTGAAGAGGTGAGGGATATGTAGATGGGGGTACACGAGTGGGTGGGGTGAGGAGGGAGGGTGTTGATGTGGGTGAGAATGACGGCGAGGGGGGGGAGGTTATGGGGGTATGTGAGGTGAAAGGGGTGAGTAGGGGGGTGAGGGAAATGTGGATGGGGGGGGGGGCATAATGAGAGGAGTGGTGAGGAGGAGGAAGCGAGTTAGGGGATATGTGTGCGGATGGGGGGTGAGGGGAGGGGGAGTGGGTGAGGGGAGGGGTGAGGGGTGAGGGGTGAGGGGAGGGGGTGTGGGTGAAGGGGAGTGGGTGAGGGGAGGGGTGAGGGGTGAGGGGTGAGGGGAGGGGGAGTGGGTGAGGGGAGTGGGTGAGGGGAGGGGTGAGGGGAGGGGGTGTGGGTGAGGGGAGGGGTGAGGGGAGTGGGTGAGGGGAGTGGGTGAGGGGAGGGGGTGTGGGTGAGGGGAGGGGTGAGGGGAGGGGTGAGGGGGTGTGGGTGAGGGGAGGGGTGAGGGGAGGGGTGAGGGGAGGGGTGAGGGGAGGGGTGAGGGGAGGGGTGAGGGGAGGGTGTGTGGGTGAGGGGAGGGGTGAGGGGAGTGGGTGAGGGGAGGGGTGAGGGGAGGGGTGAGGGGGGAGTGGATGAGGGGAGGGGTGAGGGGGGTGTGGGTGAGGGGAGGGGTGAGGGGAGGGGGTGTGGGTGAGGGGAGGGGTGAGGGGAGGGGTGAGGGGAGGGGTGAGGGGAGGGGGTGTGGGTGAGGGGAGGGGTGAGGGGAGGGGTGAGGGGGGAGTGGGTGAGGGGAGGGGTGAGGGGAGGGGGTGTGGGTGAGGGGAGGGGTGAGGGGAGGGGTGAGGGGAGGGGGTGTGGGTGAGGGGAGGGGTGAGGGGGGAGTGGGTGAGGGGAGGGGTGAGGGGAGTGGGTGAGGGGAGGGGTGAGGGGGGAGTGGGTGAGGGGAGGGGTGAGGGGGGAGTGGGTAAGGGGAGGGAGTGCGGTGAGGGGGAGTGGGTGAGGGGAGGGGCTAGGGGCGGGGGGCTAGGGGGAGGGGCTAGGGGGTGATCACGACTGCGCCGCGTGGTGGACACGCGGTGACGTCACTGCTCGTAGAAGTTTGCCATTGCGAGCCACGCGTGCAGGCACGGAATGTGAGTTAGTGGCTTCGTTATAATGAGTCACGCTCTTCACAGCAACACAGACTGAGGATAGTGTAGAGTCTGACTGCATGTAATGAATGGTTAATAATACTTCACTGATTAATTTATAGCCATCATTGGCAGAAACACTACAATCAGCATCCCCACCACCAAACATTACCACCACTACCTCCATCACCACCACCTCCATCATCATCATCACCACCTCCATCATCACCACCACCAGCAGCATCATCACCACTACCTACACCACCACCTCTATCACCACCACTACCTACACCATCACCTCCATCATCATCACCACCAGCAGCATCATCACCACTACCTACACCACCACCTCCATCATCATCACCACCAGCAGCATCATCACCACTACCTACACCACCAGCAGCATCATCACCACTACCTACACCATCACCTCCATCATCATCACTACCTACACCACCAGCAGCATCATCACCACTACCTACACCATCACCTCCATCATCACCACTACCTACACCACCAGCAGCATCATCACCACTACCTACACCATCACCTCCATCATCATCACCACCAGCAGCATCATCACCACTACCTACACCATCACTTCCATCATCATCACCACCAGCAGGATCATCACCACTACCTACACCATCACCTCCATCATCATCACCACCAAAAGCATCATCACCACTACCTACACCACCACCTCCATCATCACCACGACCTACACCACCACCAGCAGCATCATCACCACTACCTACACCATCACCTCCATCATCACCACCACCAGCAGCAGCATCATCACCACTACTTACACCATCACCTCCATCATCATCACCACCTCCAACAGCATCATCACCACTACCTACACCATCACCTCCATCATCACCACCCCACCAGCAGCATCATCACCACTACCTACACCATCACCTCCATCATCATCACCACCTCCAACAGCATCATCACCACTACCTACACCATCACCTCCATCATCACCACCACCACCAGCAGCATCATCACCACTACCTACACCATCACCTCCATCATCATCACCACCTCCAACAGCATCATCACCACTACCTACACCATCACCTCCATCATCACCACCACCAGCAGCATCATCACCACTACCTACACCATCACCTCCATCATCATCACCACCACCACCTCCATCACCACCACTACCTACACCATCACCTCCATCATCACCACCACCAGCAGCATCATCACCACTACCTACACCATCACCTCCATCATCACCACCACCAGCAGCATCATCACCACTACCTACACCATCACCTCCATCATCACCACGACCTACACCATCACATCCATCATCACCACCACCACCAACAGCATCACCACCACTACCTCAACCATCACCACCACCGCGAACATCACCGTTATTAGCACTACCTTCACCTGCATCATCACCATCATCACCACTACCTCCACCACTATCACCACTAGGACGACCTCCTCCACTATCATCACTACATTAATTACCACTACCACAACATCCAGCACCGATATTAACATGCGCTTCTGCGGCCGTCTGGAACACTCTTCCTTCTAATATTATAGGTGACTTTACCGAAAGACCCAAAGAATATGAATTCCTGCAGTCACGAAAGCTTTAAGTCAAGAAAACGAATTTCTTTTAAACGACTTTTTGTGTCCAGTTGTTGTTGTTGTCCTTCCATGCGCCTTCCGCTGAGCACGGTTGGCAACGTACGGTGCGAAATAAGTTCAACATACACCCCCCCACCACCCCCCCGTGATGTGTTACTAGATCCCTCCCTGACCTCCCCCTCCCACTCCTCTCCCTCCACGCATGGCTTCATTTCAGCTGGAACTGTCTGGGCAGCAGTCGGAACGGTGGGAGGCATGGATGGAGGGAGTCGGGGGGGGGGGTGCTGATGTCTGGAAAATATTCATGCTACCCTCGGCCAAATGTGGCAC